AGGTTTTCAGTCATAATGGACATTATATTTTATATGAGTCATTTATTTTTAAGAGAAAGTACACTGACTAGTGATTTTATCTGGTTCAGGAATGATTTCTTGGTTAAATGTAAGGTAAGTAGTTCACACTTAAAAGATGCTACAGGCCAGGCGCAGTGGCTCACGCCTGTAATCTCAGCACTTTGGGAGGCTGAGGCGGGCGGATCACGAGGTCAGGAGCTCGAGACCATCCTGGCTAACACAGTGAAACCCCATCTCTACTAAAAATACAAAAAATTAGCCGGGCATGGTGATAGGCACCTGTAGTCCCAGCTACTTGGGAGGCTGAGGCAGGAGAATGGCGTGACCCGGGAGGCGGAGCTTGCAGCGAGCCAAGATCACGCCACTGCACTCCAGCCTGGGTGACAGAGCAAGACTCCATCTCAAAAAAAAAAAAAAGGCTACAACAACTGACTTGAATTTCTCAAACTGAAATGACTGACTCTTCCCTGGACATGGCTGCATGAAGAAGGAAAAAATACTGAAGAAACTACTAAAGGGACTAGACACAAATACACTTACCTAATAGGAAACAGAGTTGCAATCCTAGAATATATTCTATCTCACTTTTGATTATATAATAAAATACATGCTTTAGGAAAAAATTACTAGTAATTCTTAACTTTAACTTTTGTTCAAATTTCTTCATTTTTGCTGACATGAAATCTCTAAAGTCCATTCTAGCCATAGAGTTTTAGGATTCTGTAATCCTTTTTAAAGGATATCAGGCCAAGCATCGTGGCTCACGCCTGTAATCCCAGCACTTTGGGAGGCTAAGGCAGGCAGATCACAAGGTCAGGAGTTCGAGATCAGCCTGGCCAACAAGGTAAAATGTATTTTTTTTAAATACAAAAAAAAAAAAAAAAATTAGCCAGGTAGGGTGGCATGCGTCTGTAATCCCAGCTACTCCAGAGGCTGAGGCAGGAGAATTGCTTAAAACCAGGAGGCGGAGGTTGCAGTAAGCCAAGATCACGCCATTGCACCCCAGCCTGGGAAACAGAGCAAGAATACATAAACACACACACACACACACACACACACACACATATACATGTATCAGGTTGATTCTGGACAGATTAGAAAAGGGGAAACCAGACTAGCAAACAAGTGTAAACAGAACGAAAGATCAGAGGCAACTGTTGTCAGCAGTGGGTGGAGGCAGCATACAAGTGAGAGCCCTGAAACAAGGGACACTCGGGAGGCCAGCCCACCAGTGCCCCAGCTCTTGAGTGGGGATGACAGCCTGATCAGGGCACAGAGCTAGTCTACATGGAGCATGAGGGTGCCACTGAGCCAAGGAGGATGCATCCAGATAGGGGGCCCTGCAAGACCACAGCTGAATCAGAGAACAAGCCAGTGGACAAAATGCAGTAGAAAACTAACAAATAGTCAACGCCAAAGATGGCAGGAAATGAGCAAAAGAGGAACAAAAACCATAAGGGGAGATAAACAAAGAGCAAGATGACAGACTTAAGCCTACCTATATCAACAACTGCACTAAATGTAAACGGACTAAATTAGAACACCATGCAAAGAATAACAACAGGAATTCACAAAAAGAGAGATGCAACTAGCACAAACAAAAAGTTATTCACCTTAATTTGCAACATGAAAAGTAATAAAATGGGTTTAGCTCCTAGCAAGGAATCCAAAAACAATTAAGCTGTCCAGTGTTTGCTAGAATATGAGGAAATGAACACATTCAGGTATGGGACAGAAAGATGTTGACAATCTAGACGACCCAAGATTCTACTTCTGAGATTTACCCTTAGGAGATGTTAGAGAGGTGCCCAAAAATACATGGGCAAGATTTTTCATCTCAGCATTTCTAATTATAGCAAAAGCCTGTACCCACGCCAGCAGCAAAGTCAGCAGGGACCTAGGGAAACGCCCCAGTGTATCCGTGCAGTGGGACAGTGAGCATTCACCTGTTGGATGGTGACTGACAGACTCAATGCAGATTGTTCATTCATAGGTAGTTTCCAAAGGCCTATGCTGGACAGCACCATTATGTGCAGCCACACACTCACAGGCACCTACTGAGCACCACTGCCCTTGGGACCCTCACAATCTAGTCAGAAGAGAGAACAGCAAGTTTGATTCAAGTTGCCAACGAGACACCAAGGAGATGGGGGAATGGAAGAAGAGCCCCACACAGCCGGGGTGGTAGGAGACTGCCTGGAGGGCAGGTGGGCCTATAGTGGGTGAGTATTCCAGACAAAGGGCAGAGCTGGCTGCAGACTTCCTCGAGGTGAAAACCACCAGGAGGTTCCGGAAGCCAAGAGGCTGGAGGCAGTGTGCAGAGACAGGCAGGAGGCTGGAGCCTGAGAGTGGTGAGGATTTCGGACTTGATCCCATGGGCAATAAAAAGTCAGCAAAGGGATTTCAGCAGCACAGAAACCTAATGAGATCAGAGTTTTAATAAAAACACTTGCTTCCAACTTGGGGGAGAGAGAGAGGAGGCAAGGAGGCTCTTGTGACCAACTGTCCAGGGAACCGATGGAAGCAGGAGAAGGAGGCAGCAGGACTGGAGAGAAGCATGCAGGCTTCTTGCTTTATGAGATGTAGATGGGCAGGGAAAGAGGGCTGGGACTCTCTTAAGCAACTTGGGGGACAGTGATGCCCTATGCTGAGCCAGCAAAGGAGGTCTGTCTGGGAGGAAGCTGGTGACACTCGACTGTAAGCTGCTGAGCCTCAGACATCTATGGGGTGCCAAGGGAAGACGTGCAGCTCCCAGGAGAAGGCCTGCCTGCAGGCAGACATGCACATGTCCTCCACTCCCGCTCATCCTCCCTGACCTGCTGATCTGAACACACCGTTTCACCACCTCCAGATGCAAATGACAACTTGAGCAGGTATATAAAGTTCCTGTATTGCAATGTTTCCTTTACAATCATGAATTTTTTCTGGATTCTTTCAACATTTAATGTTGCAAAAGTTTGTGGCCAATCTGATTTTTGTCCTTTTATCAGCTTTTTTGGCTGGGTCCTTTGTAGCACTCTTTTCTTATCCTTGACAGCCAACGATTCCACCAGGATGTGTCTCAGTATCATACTGGTACTTTTTAGCTGACACTCAGGGAGTGCCTTCCTGTCTGCATACTTAGGTCTTCCGTGCAGGAGAACCGCCATGGCATCTGTTTCGCCTGTTCTCATATCCTCCTTATGAATGCCAACCGTCACACCTGGGCTCTCTGTCCCCTTTCTGTCATCTCCTCTCTCACATGTCCCCATGGCTTTGGTGCTTCCTCCTTCATATCCTGGGAAGGCTTCTCAAGTTTGCCCCAAACATCACTGGTTGCTTATTCTGTTGTGTTGATTCTGCTTCTTTATGGCTTCAGGTAAATACTTTGTTCCTATGATCACATCCGTGTGCCTCCGTGACAATCCCTTCTTGACTCAGCGTGCTCCTCTTGCCCATCTGTGGCTTCCTACCTGCCAGCCCCTTTCCTTCTCAGCCTGTCTTCATGTCATTTTTTTGTTTTTTGCTAATCATTGGCATTTTTAAATTTGTAGAGCATGATGCATATGTTTACAGAAGTATAACACCCCATGCCCACAAGGAGCTTTCCTCAAAGGTCCCCGTCAGTTCTGCTTATAGACGGCAGGAGGGCCACCCACACATGGGGTGTGTCATGAACCCTCTCTCTGCTCACAACCTGGAACGGTGGTGCAAATGAATGCTTATACCCATATTTGAGGATCCCATCAGGGACAAGTGCCGGGCGGTGGCCCATCAGGGTGGTGTCTACGAGGGAACTTCCGTCCATCTCTCTTCAGTGACTGGAGGAGCCCCTGGCCAGCATCCTTCCACACAGTGCTGCTCGCAGGCACAGGAATGGCCCCCACCTTCCCGGCTTCCAGTGTGGTACCTGCCTGAACCTGGGAGCTCCTCAGGGCCCACTTCCAAATGCCACTGAGCCACAGCAGGGAAAAAGAATTAAAGAGCACCCCACCCCCTACCCATGCCTGTGGCCTTCCAAGGGTGTCAGTGGGGTTCAGTGGGCCCTACAAGCCTTCTCCATCCAGCCCCATCTGCAAGTCCCAAAGAAACTTTTTAAAGTTTCCAGAATGTGGGTGCAACCCTTGCTGGTTTTGCCCCATTTTTATGTCCCATTCATTTCACTGGGATTCTGAGAGGGGGAAGATAAACTTGGGTTCAAGCTACCCTAGCTGACCCAGGAGTTCCATGGAAACAGAATTCTGAAAAAAAATACAAAAAAAAAAACAAACAACAACAAAAAAAAACCCCAAGCATCCTACCCAAGTCCCGTCATTGTGGCAAGAAAAATAGTTGCTATTCTGTAAACAGGACAGATGAAGCCTTTTGAGAGTATCCTCAGGAAACCAAAACAAATGAGTCAGACTCAACAGAGATCTGGAAAAACGGTTTCAAGCACTCAAAGGAACTTGAGTCTCTATGGAAGGCATTCCCAGGAAGGATCCTTGCTCTCCATCCTTGTTTTGTGGCTACAGCACTCACATTTAAACATCGACGCACACACCTTCATGGAAATGAAGGTTATTGACATGCTTTTACCTCATTTTCTTGCATTCTTCTAATCTCTTTACAACAGTGTTTCTGTTATTTTGATTTTTCAGGAGTTCAAAGACTAAAAGGTGTGATGCAGGCATTTCCTTTAAAATATTGTTGGGATCATCTCACCTTGGGGCTGGGGGTGAATCACGGGTAACTGAGGCTGCTCAGGGTGAGGCTGGGCTCAGGAAGAACAGGATCTGCCTCTTTCACAACAGCCTGGAAACAAGCCCCCAAGTCCATCCACATGCTCGAGAAGAAGATGCTGTGAGTGGCCAGGCCAGGCCACTGGCCCAGGCAGCAGTGCGTGTTTCTTATCGGTTAGAGGGATACGGCAAGATTTGCTTCAATTGCAGAGCTTCCTGTTCAAATTAGCCAAATCCAAGAAGACACTCCCAGCATTCCCTTCCTGTGCATGAAGACACCATATTTTCTGGATCAGCCGTTGTGCATAGGAACCAAAGGGCCCACCCAGGTAAGCAGCTTCTCCACCTGGTTCCTGCAGGGCTCGGAGAGGCCCTCTGAGAAGCTGGAAGGCACCACAGGGATCCAGCTGCACACAAAGCAACCTGGGGAGCAATTTTACCCAGTGCCAGCACCTGCCCAGAGACAGACCCTAATTGAGAGGGGAGGGGCCTGGGCACCAGCATTTCAGAAACACTCTGGATGGTTCTAATACGTAGACGTCTCTGAGCAGATGAACCTCTAAGCAAATTTCAAAGGACATAAGGTTCTAAAGTTCACTTTCTCTACATTTTAGAATCTCTTTCCATGTCACAGGCAGCAGCAGCAAAAGAATCTAAGTTCAAAAATGGACTTTAAAATTGTCTTTCTCCATCAATGCTGGAAATGGCCAGTGAGGGGATTATTCAATTACTTTGTTTTTTATTTCCATCTCTGTACTAACTAATTGGATTTGCTATTTTAAATGTCTTACTAAAATATTAATCATTTTCTACTGAGCCTATTGCTACAGTATTTCCTTATCATTCTGGCTCCAGTGTTATTATATATTTTGCCTTCTAAATTATTAACATATTTAATCACTCCAAAAATACCAACTATAAAAGGCAGTTACTGGGCAACATGAGACCCACTGAACTGAATGGCTGGCATGTGAGTTGGGGAGGAAACCATCGTCTAAACCTGCAGCAGGAAGTGGCCACGAAGTCAGAGGTCCTCAGCAGAAAACAAGTATCACAGAATTAATTATGAATAGAGGAAGTGAGTCTAAGGACTGGACGAGCAAAGGAAAATTCACACACAGGAAGGTCAGGTTCCAAATACCCAAGCAATGGCACCACGCTGCCACCTTCACTCAAGCAGGTGTCTGTGGCTGCCAAGGCAGACAGAATGAGGAGTTCTGCTGAAGCTGGCACTCCTCACTCTTCCCTCCACCAGCATCCTGACAGCCAGCCGCACAGTCTCAGTCAGTCGCACGGTCTTAGTCAGTGGTCGATGCCGTGAGGATAGCAGAGCAGGGGTCAGAGATTGTGAGTGTGCAGCTGAGGCCCCACGCAGCTGGGTGGACAGGAAAGGCCTCTCTGAAGAGGAGACTCATGGGCAGGGACTTGAATGTGGTGGGGGCTGCCGGGCCCAAGAGACCGGCAACCTCCAGGTAACTCTGGACTGCAAGAAAACGGGCCCCCAGTGATGCACGGACGACCAAAGAGTACGTGGACAGGAAACAAGGAGAACAAGTCTGGGGTTTCGCTGAGCACCTGCCACAGGGTAGCTGCATCAGCATCGGTGCCAGGCTGCCTGAGGTGGGGACCGAAGGCTGAGTCACACGGAGAACACCAAAGAAGGACCAGACCCTCCAGGGCCTTTCTACTCCTGACCCACCTCCCCCGAAGGCAAGAGCAGAAGCAACCTGGTACTAGTCAGCAATGACCAACCACAAAATTGCTTGAGTGCCTCACGGTACTGGGTTTGCAAATGTCTGGTGAGTAAGGAGCTTCCGACCCAGCAGCCTGGGGCCTGTGCGGGTCCCGGCTTCGGACCAAACTGGGGAGAAAGTGCCCATCCTCAAGGTTTCCTTAACCCAGATCGCCCATCAGACTTAAACTGTTCTAGGGCCCAGGAAAAAACACAGGGTCCCAAATTAATTTTATAAAATGGACATAACCTTGATTCTAAAACCTAAACACACACACACACGTGCTCGCTCACTCTCTCTCTCTCTCTCTCAAACTCCAGGCCAATTCCACTTTAATATAGAGATGAAGTTCTATTTTTAATGTCAGCAAATTAGATATAGTTTTATATTGGGGAAATAATAGATGATGGCCAGGCAAAGGTTACTTGAGGAGTGTAAGAACTGTTCAACGTTAGGAATTCTATTAATGTAGGAACATCTCAACAGCTGCCAAAAAGACAGTGGTTAACCTTGTCATTTGTTTCTGACTGAATGCCGAGAAGAGTGCCTAGCACATGGCAGGTGCCAGATGGCTGGTGAATGAATGAATGCTAACTTTTAAAACACAGTAATTTAGAGTCATAAAACAAGTTTCTATTAGATTCTTAAAAGGCTAAATAAAAACTAGCAACTTAGGTGTCCAACTTAATAAATTTAAAAAGAAAAATAGTAGAGAAGGAAGAAAATTAAATAAAACTGGAGATATCAGTGAAAAGAAAAACAAAGATTAAAAAAAGAACAACAAAGCCAAAAGTCAGCGGTTTAGAGAGTCAGACAAACTTCTGGAAAAATATATATTTTTAAAAAACGCGTAAGTAGGCTGGGCGCGGTGGCTCAAGCCTGTAATCCCAGCACTTTGGGAGGCCGAGATGGGTGGATCACAAGGTCAGGAGATCAAGACCATCCTGGCTAACACGGTGAAACCC